AAGGCAATATTACTTGTAATCACCGAGCCGAGTGGACTATAGTCACTCCCAGAGCCTAAGGGCCAATTCGCCGAGCTAACAAAAGACCTCGGCACTATAAGACCTAGTCACCTCTATGGCATGGGCGAACTCTAGGAGAGTGGACCATAAGTCACTCCCCCAGCCTAAGGGTTAAAACGCCGAGCTAACGAAGACCTCAACACCGTATAAGACCTAACCACTTCATCGGCATAGGCTAAGTATTAATACCAAAGGCGCAGGCAGCTCGGGTGTGAATCCTATGATGCATAGCCCGCCTCAATATACAAGTTGGACCCGCTAGGGACAACTAACTTCAACTTAAGTAACCCAGGTGCATATAGGTCGGGCATATGCTCACTGTGATGATCACCTCAGTGTACATTATAAAATCACCCCTACTAAGTACGGGGAGATAGCTCAGGATGACGATAGTCGAGAAACCCCACTTTGGGTGCTTAGCTCTAGCAGTTCGGGTGAAATAGTCACTTCGGCAAAAGAGTAAATCGCACAACACTTAGTAGAAAAAAGGAACATTTCATTACTAGTTCTAAAAAAGAAACCGAGCCTAACAGCCCGGGAGAGTACATCAGTAAAGCAGAAAGAAAAGAAAGAGAACCGGGCTCAGTTGCCCGAGAGCAACCACTTCATAAGTAATTCTTCAGAAGAAGAAAAAAAAAAAGAGAGCAACCAGCCTCAAGGCCCCACCTGCTCTACATCCTCGTCACTCTCCTCCAGGGAGTCGGGCTCCTCCTCCTCTGCAGCGTCCGCCGTCTCTAGGGCCAGGTCTCTCATTGTTACACCTTCAAGGTTAAGGCCGGAGAACTTCTTCCAGACCAGCCACCGGCAAAGCTTGAACCCCGAGCAGTAGGACTTCGAGCCGTATTCGACCTGGAGGTCGTGGAACTACTGGGACTCTTTGAAGTCCTCCACCGCCTTAGCCCGCTCTACCTCCACCGCGGCGTCGAAGTTTCGGGTCCTCTCATGGAGCGTGGACTCTAAGCTCTGGACCTGTTGGCGAAGAAGCTCCCTCTCCGCTACCACCCTCGAAGACTCCTCCCTGTAACGGGCACTCTCCTCAAACAGTCGGGAGATACGTGCTTCCTGGTCCCTAACGAGCAGCTCCTGGGCCTCGCTCCCCTTCTGAGCCTGGAGAAATTAATCCCGTGCCTGGTCGAGCTCGCGTTGGAGGCTCTGCACGTTCAACCTCTGATTGACGGCGTCCTGGGAGTGAATAGCAGTCTGACAGGCCATGGCGTGGATGGCGGAGTTCG